AAAAAAAAGGCAGCAAACAAATGCTTTCCTCAGGGAAAGCTCAGAGCCTGCCTGGCTCCAGCACCAGGACAGAGATGCTGCAGGCTCCAGCATCAGTGCTGAGATGCAGGAGGAGCTGAAAGCAAAGGGGCAGGGCTCAGTCACAGGCTTTGCTTTCTCACATTAACGTCAGAGACAAGACAATCTGTGCAAACCCAGCTGTTCACCACCTCCATCTACCATCCCTCCTGTTCCCGTGCAGCACCCACCAAGCCAGCAGCAGGCTGCACCTGCTGGGCTCACACTGCTGCCCCCTCCAGCCGCTTTATACAGTTAAAAATGACCCCGGGAGTGCACAGGAAAGCAATTCTTACTGCATATTTAGAGATCCCTTTCAGAATAACCCAAAGGTTTCACTTTGCTTCCATTGAGATGAGAAAGCAAGGGAAGAGACAGGGCATGTGGGCGTGACAGGGAGGAAGCAGTGCAAGGTGCCACAAGGCAAAGAAAGAAAAGGTATGAGCTATTTTGGTGTTCTTCCCTAAACCTCAGCCAGCAGGGGATGGCAGCCCAGCAGAGCCACCAGGAACCCCAGCCTTGTCACTCCCTTTCCCAGGGCAAGGCTGGCACCCGCTGGCAGAGGCAGAGAAGGCTCCTCATGCCCAGAGACAGGCCCTGAGCAGAGCTGAACACGCTAAGCTGTTTCTGTCATTCCTTTCTATATTTTCTCCCATTTGTACAGCTGCAAGACCAGGAATTGATTTCACCAGGGAGTCTGCAACTTTTTTTTTTTTCCATGGGTTAGAGTAAGATGAACACCTTACACCTTTTATTTCTAAGATCTCCAGAGTATGTAAGAGACAGCTGGGAAAATACTCATGCAAACCAAACCATCCTGACTGTCTCAGCACCTAATTCCCTTTTTTTTTTTGGCTTGTCAAGAAACAGAACAATGCAGAGGCTAAATACTAAAGAGAAAGCCACTACAATAAACTTTCTCCTGGCAAGTTGATTTGCTGGCATTTGCAAATCCACTGAGAAAGCAAAGTGCAATCAATACAGCTGAAGCCCAAGTTCTAATTAGAGCCTTCTGTTTGAAAACAGCTTTTCTTTAAACACTACATGGCTAGTGATAGTGATAGAATATTGCCTAAAAATAAGAAAATGGTTCATTAGTGTTCATGGAAACATAAGATCAATCTGCCCTTGTGAAAGTTAATGAATACACAGAAATATCACATCGTGACCCCTGATCTCAATGCCTGAGGCAGCAGTATTATTATGCACTTGCCAGAATTGCTCAGCAACAGGACTCAGATACAACTCTTATTGCATTAATTTTATCTGTGTGATTATTTAAATTAATGACATTCTGACTGCAAGTCACAAACTTCAAGAGATGTTAATCTGCTTAAATATTAATGATGCTTTTCCACTGTGAGGTGCAAGGAGGGAAAGCAGAACTAAATACTAACCATTTTAAGAATAAATAAGCATGAAAAATAAGGCTGTTTCACTCAGAGAAATGCTGAAGCAACCCACTTAAACCACCTCCCCTCCCTCAAGGAAGCAAAAACTGTTTTGTTAAATCTTGGTCCAGCAAAAAGTGTAAAATCTCCTTTCTTTAAAAATGAACAAAAGTTTTGAAGTATGATGAAAATACCTTGAGGTCTTGAGCAGCTTTTGGTGAGTCCTTGTGTGACTCCATCTCCCTCTATATGATGGAAATGGAGATGTCAGGCATCTCATTTCTCTCAGCAGCACAACAGTTTACAGTGGTCACGTTGCCCTCTATGCTATTTTAGATACCAGCATTTGCATTCTGTTACCTGTAATAAGAATATCTAAGAAAAGGAAATGTAATTTGAAGTCTTGAAAATCTTGGTTTTGAAAAGTGGGGGAATCAGCTCTACACTTTCTCTTCTGATCCTTTCTTCTTTTACCCCTAAAAGATATTTTTCAGTCTCCACAATTCTGACTTGCAGGTTGGTGACTGGTCTGTTGAGGGATGAAAGGCAAGCAGAGGGCCTGGCATTTCTGTCCAGTCTTTGAGGAGCAGCTGCCTGAGAAATCACACAGTGCTACTTAGAGCCGTGTGAATGGGAAAGGTTACACAGAGCCAGACCTGAGCAATTGGATGACTTTGCAGAACACTTTTGCACCTTTGAAAAAGTTATCAAGGAGAATCTGTGGACATTTGAGAGAGAACAAGGTTGAAGGATATAAAAGGCTGTGCTGGAATTTGGTGGAACAATTGAAGCCAGTCTGTAAAATTGTTATTATCCTTTTCACACACAGGAGAAGCTAAAAAAAACCCTTGTGAAGTCCTCTTAATCAGGAGGGCCTGTGTGTAGGGCAGAGACTGGAAAAAGTAGTTCTTAAGGATTTGTCACATGCTGATCCTTGATTCCTGTGGCAACCCTGAGCCCCACAGCTCAACAAATGGATTTGCAGCAGTTTCTGAGGTCCATCTCTTCTGACAGAATGTAGCTCAGGTACCTGAAGGATTTCCACTCCATTTCTGCATCTGTTTTCACCAGTGTATCAGGTACCACTGGCACCCAACTGGCAGACTGGATGGCATTGCCAGATTGGTGTTGTACGCACATGGTTGGCTGAACAGTCTGAACATCCCAGCTTCAAAAAGCCAGCAACTATACACATAGCAAACCCTGTCACTTCCTTCAGCTAATGATCTCACTGAGCCAGCAATGATGCAAAGGTTAAGTGACTTAATCTGCTGGCATCACCAATTCAAACAAAGAAACTTCTTGATATTGTGTCACAGACAGTGATTCAACATTAAGTTACTTCTAGGCCCTTTTTCCATCCTTTGCAGACAGTTTCACCAGAAAGAATAATACCAGACCTAGATTTAATGACCCTTCATTTAAAGGCCAAGGTTAGAGTGGGCTTTTTTGTCTTCTTTGTAATTGGATTGCTCAACCACAGGTAGTCTTACTGTATCAATCATTGCATGAGTGAAAGGTGAATAAAAGCATTTACTGAACTGTCATATCTATGATAAAGCAACAGATGCTGTCAGCTCTAAAGGGAATACATTAGCAGAAGTAAACCTAAAAGATAAAGACCTATTAGACATAACATGCCTTTCAATCATTTATTTATGTTAGCAGTTCAGCTTTGAAATGAAGTGAACATAACCCTTATTTACAATAAATTAAGCTTATCTTTGCCCTACTGTGTATCTTAACCAATGATGGCACAGATTTTTTTTCTTTCAGAAACTCATTTACCTTACACTTCTTACACTTCCCCAGTTTTTTTCCTTCACAATTGCTAATGTGTTTATTAAACTGATATACAGTTTCTAAGTCCAAACCAGTTAAAAAAGATCTTATTGCAGTGACCAGTTACTTCAGGACACTGCAACAAACAAAAAGGCTGGACTGACCTGGAAACATCTACTCCTTCCTTATTTCTGGAGAGAAAATCTGTTTAATAAAGAAAGGTGAAGATATTACCCAGTGCAATACAAGAGCTGAGCCATCCCACCATGCCAGCACTGCACCAGGGCCCAGGTATTTGTAGGAGCTGAACATGTTAACTCAGGATCTGCCACCATACCAGGACTCCCACTGAGACCTTACCAGCCTCAAGCAGAGCAGAAGAATTGCTTCAGCTCTCTTGAAAGTTAAATGCTTTTACATTCCCTTATGACATTTAGTTGTTTTGCAGCAACATGACCTTGTTGCCTCATGTTCCACCTATAACCCTCACATACCTTTCCAAAAGGCTCTTCCTGTTAGGTGTTTGTGTAATCAATTAGTCTTGCCTAAAAGCACTTACCCCAACTGGATTTCTTGAATTTGTCCAGATCATTTTGTATTTGAATATTTATTCCCATGTCCTTCCTTCCCATTTGATAGATCTGCAATTTTAATGACCACACTCCCTACTGCTCCATCCATCATGTCTTCCCAGTCTGCTTTGAAACTTCATATTTAGAACTAAAAGTCAAGCTTAAGATAATTGCTGCTTTTACTTTAAACCAGAAGACCATCCCTTTGTCATATGAAAAAAAAAATACCCTGTGCTCTTTCTCTACAAACATGGACAAATTTTGCTACAAACCTACTCTGGCCATTGCCCTCTTTTACTTTTCTTTCAGGATATCTGATGAAAAAGTAGTTGCTAACTACACTATGCTGTCACACCATAGAAAAATCACCTTTCTGCCACAAAGTGGTTTGTGGTATTGTGAGATTTCTGTTCAATCTACTATTCTACTTAACTAGGACACCTGATGGGTGGTTGCGTGCCTCTAGATGTGGTGGGGGAACCCAGAGCAAGACACTGTCCCACTCCATCCTCCCTTTTAGTGCTCCCATGGCTCCACAGCAGCTCAGTTTGTGATGTTCATAGTGATAACAAAAATGCTGTACCACAAATTAGATGGGATTTTTACTTTTTTTTTTTTATTACTTTAAACATTTACAGAGATGGAAATAAATACAGGAAATAGGAGATAGAGAGGGTGCTTTCAAAATAAATCAGTCAAGTCTTCATCAGGCTTCAAACAGGAAAAAAATTTATCCAATAGCTGCTTAAAACTGGCCACCATTTCTAAGGTCAAGGATTAGGCTGAACAATAATGTAAATAACTGAAGATAAGCATTGCAACAAAGAAGGATGACACAGGTGACATCAGTGAACACACAGCTGTAAGAGACAAAATGAAACCACGCTACAACAGGAAAGTCTGATATTTACAACATAGCTATAATACAAAAACATTTGGAAATATCTAGGGAGTGATTTCTTCTCTGTCCAGCTGTAAGATAGAAAAGAAACACTGGAGGGTTTGTTGGTTTTGTTCCCCTCCCCAATATCTACAGAATAGTTTTGACTTTTGGCAAAGTTTAAAAAAAACTTTGTATTGCAAGAATATTTCATCCAACCTGAACTCCTCTGTGTTTCCATTCTTGCTTATCATCAAAATCATCCACTGGAGAAAATTTGTCAGAAGAGAAGGAGTTTCTAAAGTTTTGTACAGTCCTTTATCGATGGTCTGACCTGTAGGCTGGGAAAGTGTCCGTGCGATGAAGCTTCACAGGGCTGGAAACATCTTCACCCAAATGCAAAAAAAAAAGAACACCACTCAGTAAGACACAGGTACCTTATTTAGCATTTTGTAAAGGACTATGTGAACTACAGCCTTTTAATTATACCTATCCCTCCTCCATCTGCTGCTCTCTCTCACAATCTCCACTCAGATTTTCTTTTCCAGTTCCTTAAGAACAGAAAACTGTACAAAGCAATTTAATGTTTAAAACGGCCTGGCTTAGCATTTAAAATGAAAAATGCACTTTAGCTCACAATACTAGCATCAGGTTTCTTCTGTACATGAGAAAAGGCTAAAAGAATCATTTCAGAAACCATCAATTCCAGCTATGGTGGAGGAAAGATTTCAGGTGCCTGTACCACCGGGTGAGCTGCCGCTTCACACCCATGGAACTCTAGGACTCAGTACCACAATTATTTAAGATTTCTTTCTCCAAGAATAATTTTAGCATTCAAGATTTTGGCAACCTAATCTAATTAGAGGTGTTTGGGGTACGACTGAAGTAGCAGTTCTGACTGCTGATCAGGACAAGGACTCAGGTGTCCTTCCTAAGCACTGTGCTGGCTGCCTGGCTGGCTTATTCTGCAAAGGCTTTTACCCCATTCTCATGACAATCATCTCCTAGGATCCATTTTTTAACTTTTTTTTTTTTTTTTCCAGTTTAGCAAGCAGGCTATTTTTGTAAATACACAACAAGTAGTTTGTACCCATACCATCTATTTATCTTGTGTCAACTCCATACTGAATTATTGTTTTAATAAAGGACACCATGGCAAGGCACAGTAAGCCTTGTCCTGGTGTGCCACAGGCTGCCACCAGCAGGTCATCTGCCCGTGCCCTGATTTACTGAACAAATCCGAACAGGCACGTAAGTGCTGCTTTCATTATTCATCCCTTCCCTGAAACACTTGCCAGGCTTAGCCGGGACTTTGGATGGGCTGCCTGCTCCCTCTAGTGTTGAAAAAAAGGAAAAATACCAGCTTTTATCATCTGCTGAAAAATTTGCTGAGGAGCAGAAGAGAATATAACTACATGTGTCACCACTGCCAGAGCTTGTCATTTGCAATCACAGCTTGTGATATGTCATGTTCTGGAGGTGTCAACCTCCACAACATCCAGCTTTATAAAATTATATATATATCTCTATCTCATTCATTATTCCTTGAGAAACTCCTAGTACCTGAGAGAAGGAAAAAAAAATAAATCAAAAAAAGAGATTAAAAGTTTCCCATACCAGGATGTTTTAAAATATGTCTAGTGATTTCTGAATGCTTGATGTTGGTAAATGGTATCTCCACATTAGTACTAGAAAGCCCTGCCAGCTCCTGAGGTTTCCTGCAACACTCAGGTTTACCTATGGGTGTTTTTGCAGCAGGATGAGGCAGCAAGAGCAGGGCTGCCCTTTGGTGCAGCACCCACCAGCCCTGCCCTTCAGGGATGACACAAAAATCACCCATAAGCTGATGGCCAAACTGAGCTTCGCTTTCTGACCCACCTGTGGAGAAGGGAAACTGCTTCAGAACATACACTATCTCAGCCAATCCACGTAGCTTGGAGTGGAAGGGTGTGTTTTGAAGGAGCCTTTTTTTTTTTTTACTCTAAACCCATGCCTGACCACAAGATGCTGACTTTGGACCAGCTCCTCAGGGGTGCAGCTCCTGCTCCAGAGGTGCCTCTGAGGAAACCAGCACAAGGACACACCAGTGCTGCAGGTTTTGCTGTCTCAGAAGACTGAAGTTCAGTTTTGAAGCACACTCTGAAGCATCTGGGCAGAGATGGCTGCTCCTCCTCCTCATCCCTGTGCTCAGTAACCACTAGATGTCCCTTGGTGACCACAGAGGGACAACTGGGATCAGGGCGCCCTCTCCAGGGAGCGATTCCACCTTCTCTGCATCCTGGGGAGGTTTCCAGGCAGGAGGGGACTTAGCTGTGCTGCCCCTTGGGCTGAAGACAGGAAGGGGATTTGGAGAAGACATCTGCCCATCTCCAGGCCCCGCTGCAGCTGTTCAAGCAAGTTTTCTAGAACTACTTATCATGGCCATTTCCTTTCACTTTCCCTAATTCAGCTTATTTCAAGGATGCAGTCATTTTGGTTGAATGTTAGCAAGTACACAAAATTATTAATGACAACTGCATCCCTCTTGGCATGGGCAGGCATCCAAAGGAGAGGGGAGCCAAATGTTACAAGTCTGGCAAAAAAATCTGGTGCCATCAAAAGAGTTTGGTAGCAGGAAGGATTGGGCAATCTTGGTAACTGGTCATCCTGTAACAGTAACTTCTTGTTTACCTAAAACCAGTCAAAAGGCTGTCAAATCAAGGACCCCCTCCAATGGGAAGAAGAGCACCCCTGATGACAGCCCCTCTCCCAGATTGTCCATCTTAAGGTGTGATGTGCCCTTCTCTTCATGAACCAGACAACAGCAGCAACTGGCTTAAACCAAACACCAGCTTTCAGCGAGATGGACAGATACTGAAAAGCTTCAACCCCACCTCTCCCACGCAGCCCCTCACCTTGCAGCCCAAAAAGCTGGCCAGTGCTGTGCTGCCGGGTGATGTGCTGCCAGTAGGCGCTGCGGGGCAGGGGCACCATGGCGCTGAGGGACACGGCTCGCTCGCTCATCTTCATCTGCAGCTGCAAAGCAGTAAACTCATGTGAAGGAGACAGTCATGGTCATGACAAACCCTTCCAAGAACAGCATGACCACTGGCTGCAAGGACTGGTGACGATCTTGCCAGCACAGGCTCCCCGTTCCCTCCCTCTGCCCCCCCTCCACGAGCAGGGTCAGTCTCCACGGGCACACAGCACTCAGGTTAGGAGGCCACGCTGCTGTGACACCAGGCTCACCTTGCTGCTCCCCTGGTCCTGGGCTAGTGCTGCTTCCCCTGAGGGGAGCTTTAACTCAAGCAGCTGAAACAGAAACGGGGGATCAGTGGAAGACAGGAAAGTACTCAGATGCTCCTGCATTAGCAGCAAAGCCACCAAGGGTCCTCCCCTAGTTTCCCAATGCTAAATATACAGCTTCAGCACATCTAGAACCTGACTGGAGATGTTTTACATGGCAGAGAATAAGCTGTTCTTGTTCATTTTGAAGCATTTTCTCTTCATCTCCCATCACCACAGGAGACAACTGCATCCTTCAGCCAAACTTGAATGAACAGCACACCCAGGTGTGCTGAGAGGAGAGCACGTGGGCTGCAGTTCACTGCTGGAAGCCCCATCTCACACCTCCCCTCCATACAGGGCCTTCAGTTACATTTTCTTAACACAACAATATATGAGAACTGAGCATTTTTTCCTCATTAATTTAATCAGATGTAAGTGCAAGCTGATAAACATAATTTGTTTTTATCATAAGCTTCACATTGCAGCTAAAATTCTCCTCCCAAAGCTCAGGAAAACATCCATGTAAACATACCAAGACTGCATGTGACTTTGCTAATTTATAAAGACAGATTTTTACCAAAGAGTAAGCATCTACATCTTAGTTTCACAAAACTTGGGGTGAAAGAACCTTCTTCAAAAAGATCAACATATTTTGGAGCAAAAACAAAGAGATGAAGCCAGCACAGCAAAGAGGTGAGGGCTGGCTGCCTCTGAGGAGAGCCACTTCCAAATTATTTAGAGGTGTGATCTACCTTCAGCCTTCTCTCTGTACAACAGACACTGTGCCTGCAATGGGAAGGTGAAGCAAACCAAAACACAGATCAGCTCCTGCTCTTAAAACACCCACCTCCACATCAGCTGGATGTGAATCACTGCACCATGCAAGGTTCCACCTACATGGTATTTATTACGGCTCCCTCACTAAAGCCCTTTGCAGTGTCACCACACACACCTCAGCACCATGGAAACCATCGATGATGGATGTTCTACTGGGATTTAAAAAATCAGCAGAGCATTGTTAAGGTAGCATTTCCTGGCTGTACGTACTTTTTTTTTTGTTGGTCCCATTCCTTGGTGAGCTGAACAGCAAGCTAAGGCAGTTTAAGCAACAGTTCAGCCATCAGGAGTACAAATGAAAATAAAAATAAAAAACAACACACAGGATAACAACAAAAAACCCAAGAGACACAGCTTGAAAAAAATTAGATACACAGAAAAGGGCTAGAAGGGGTGTCCCTCCTGAACTCAATCAGCAAGGGAAAAAATTAAAAACCCCACAGCTGGAGAGAAGAATTAGTATGTTATGTCCTGAATACACAGAGCTTTATCAGAACACCTCAGACTGTGAGCAAAATTTAATGATAATTGATTTCATTCTCACAATTAATCTACTGTAACAGAAAGAGTAGGAATAACTTGATAATGACCTGGCTCTGTGCTGCAGGAGCACCTAGCTCTGTAGGCAGGTTGAAAACAGCCAGAATTGTTGTGTTGGAACACACGTGTGCAAAGGCTGCGGGCACTGCACCGGGTGGGACACCCACCCTACAAATCATCAACACAACAAATAATTTGTTAACTGAAGGCACCTAATCTGTAGCCTCTTGCCCTCTTCTGCCCAGAGGAGAAGGAAAATGCTGAAACGTGAAAGGAGCTGAGGGTCCCCAGCCTCAGCTCCCCATGTGCGCGGCAGGGATCAGGTTATGTTAAGTCACACTTAAACCACAGGAGCAGAAAAGATGAGAAAAGTGGGGAGGGACAACACAAAGCTGCTCCAGTGGCTATGGAAGATCCTCAGAGGAACAGGATGGAGAAGTACTTGCAGCCATCAGCAGGCAGTGCTGAGAGCAGCTGGGGAGCCATTGGCCACCTCTTGTCACTTCTTGTCACCCGGCTAAGAGATGTATGGAGCTATGCTAAGGCAGTTTGCTGGGCTCTGGGTCAAATGCAGGGTGCAGTTGGTCCCAGAAGTCCTTGGGGTCCACAGAGGAAAGATCAAGTATTTTCTTTCTTGGATCCACCTTAACAATCAGCAAAACTTGCACCAGAGGCAAAACCACTGCCTGCTAAAAAAACAAAAACAAAAAAACCCCCACAAGAAACCCAACAATAAAAGACCCACCCAAACTACACAAAATCCCACCAAAAAACCCACCCCAAAATCACAGCATCCACACACCAACAAACTCCCTGGTAAGCTCTACCATGGCTCCAGAAGGAAAAGAGAGATTATTTAAGATGTGTTAGGTTTGGTTGGGATTATTTAAGATGTGTTAGGTTATCCTCAGGCAGGATAACCCAATTTTCAAAGATTTTGCAGAACAACTCACATTAGGTAAACCTTCACCTTGGGATCCCCTGTTGGAGAAGATTGCACTCCCTGTGGTTTTGAGGGGATTTTCTTCCCAGTGAAGCAAATTGATATAATAAATCAGAATCAATTAGAATGATACTTGCTTAAAAACATTTGCTGAATTCACTACAGCAAAACTGCAGAATGGCAAACTAATAAAAACAGCTTCAGAAATCAAAGGCACTGACATACTGCTGCTGTTTTCACTTCTACCCATCTTGCACTGACACTCAGCATTCTTCTCTTATTTCAAAAGTTAGTGAGCACCATTTCCACTTCTAATTATGAATCTCTGTGGAAATGGCCAGAGATAATAGCCTGGACAGAGGCACATCAGAGGGATGTAGTGCAAAGCGCACACTTGAGTTGCTGATAGGGGAAGAAGGGCCAGGGAGGGCTGCTGGTAAACTGGCTGATATTATCTCTCTACAAAGCACTGAGCTTTAACTGCCAAAGCTGAGAAGTTCACTGTTATTACTTTAGTGAGATATCAGGTTCTAATGTCTTTTTTTAAAGCAGCCTGAACTGAGAGCAGGCACAGATGACAGCAGTCAAGTCGCAGCACTGCTCCCATCAGTTTTCATGGCAACCAAATACTCATGAAAATATAACTCGAACAGATATTTTCTTTCCATTGTCTGGCAATGAAAAAGTGAAAGGAAAGAAACAGTTGGGTGAGATGAGTTACCAAATGACCCAAATGGCTTCAGGCATCATTAAGAAAAGCCAGCTCATTCTTCCCTTTCAAAGAGAAAAGGGAGAGATCTCTGAATTCACTGAAAAGGAAAAGAATGAAACCCACTTGTGAAACCATCATGGGCTCTGGTCAGCATATGCTCAGACCTCACCAGAAAGCAGCAGCACATTAGCAGAAAGTGTCAGGGTGAGGTTCCCAGCTGAGGAACCACTAAGGCAGCAATTTTCCACATGCATTTCAAGAGCCAGAGTCAGTAATAATCACAAACTGAACCAACATACTGTAATATAAAGAGTGACTGCTAGGGAGGTGACAGACACATTATAGCCCACGTTCTCAACACTACTTGGCAGCTTTATTTCAATCTATCAGCATGTGACATTCAACTCCCTTTTTCTTTTCTTGCACAGGCTCCAGGAGCCATCGGGTAGCTTAATATCATCTTAACCTTGGTCTTGGATAATCACATCCCGCATGTAGCAGTGGTCAGGATTATGGGAGCAAACAGAAGACACTTGGTGCAGACTTAATTTCTTACCACTGTATCTCCTACTTTCTACTTTTATTTACTGCTTGTGTAAATAATAGCTCAAGCTTCACTAATATGAAAAAGTCACATAGAGTAAATAATTCTTGGAGACAGAAACAATAGAGACAGCAGAGCATGAAGAGAAAGCATCTGAAATTAACTCCTTGTTGAAGCATTCAGAAGCATAAGAAAAATTCAGGGGAAATCAATCAACCTGAACAAAGATGCACTTTACAAATATTTTGTAATCAGCAGAACAAGCCACCTGATTTCTACACTCACCATGACCCTCTGCTTCAACTTCTAAACGTGAGATTCCTTGAAATCCAGAGAAGCCATAGAGTGTTACTGTTTCAGAATCAAACAACATTTCTGACAGACTTGGGAAACTTATTATTCAGGGACAAAGGGACTCATCTGAAACAATTATATTATACTACTAAATTACAAGACTTAAATTTTCTTCACTTTCCCTTTTCAGTTATCCCACCTGTTCTAAAAATGACAGAATTACCCATTCACCTGCATGCTCAGCTGAAGCAATCAGTTATCCAGTCCAGAAGACTGGTTGGGACACTTGGAAAGAATTTCCTATTGCTCCTCCTCTTATTTGCTCCTCCTCACTGGACTGTTATTAAGATAAATAACTTTCCTTCTAAATAACTTCCATTCTGTCTCAAGTCCAGGAAAGTGGAAGAACAAAATAAATACAAGTACTCCAGATAATTTCTTCCCCTCCTCATTCCCTTAACATACACTCTCGTATTTTCTTAAGTTTCCACAAGTAGTAATGACATTTTCTGTTTCATCCCAGCTAGGCCGTCCAGTTAATAATGGGATAATTCATCACTACAGCTTGTCCCTGAAACCAAGGTGTTAGTAGAATTAACAGAAATTATTATCATGGATGGGCATAACAAGAGTTGTTATGTTTACAGTTAGAGAAAGACATAAGTCTTGTAGCAGATTATGTAAATCAATTACTACTGCTAGAAACAGAGATGGTTTTTATAGCCAGGCTCTTTCATAGTTGTCCACTCTGGGCATTTTATACATTCCAGAAAGCCTAGGATCCTAATTTTGCTGTCAAAGTCAGCCTGCGAGTCTTGGTGTAGAGAGACCAACAGTAACGTGGGAGAAACAGAACATTCCTATTCCTGCCACAGGTTTCATGATGAAAAAAAAATTGAAGTTAATAAGACCCTGTAACACATTAGGTGCAAGTGCCATAAAGTGACTTCCTTACATGCAATGTTTTGGAAGATGCCACGCTGGTTTCAATCTGTATGCTAGTTTTGCATCTTACACTCATATTTCCTATCAGTCATGTGCATCATAAAACAAGTTTTAGACACAAAAAAGACTCATGAAAAACAGACACCCACCGAGAGATCAGACAAATATCTAGTCCTCCCCCATAGTGTAATCTAAACCACATGACTCTATCCAAATCATCCTTGGCATGCAGACATCAATTAGCAAATGGAAAACTGAGCATGAGGCCAAGTATTTTTCAAATAGATTGATGAGAAATGCTTCCAAACAAACTCATGATGCTGATTAATCTAAGGAACCTAATGAGAACATGCATTGACAGGAGCTTATCATCTCTGTTGTAATTCAAATATATTGATAGCTTTGCAAGCACAAAAACAAGGACTACAAGTTTCCCTGTTGCTTTGATTCTTGAAAAGGAACCTTTTCAGCAAGACTTTCTAGAGCAAGCAATTATTTGCCCTAAATATTAAAATCAAGCAGAATGTAATAACAGCAATAATCAGACTGTTTACTATCTGTGAATGAAATGTTAGAAATCACATGGAAGAAACATACTGCTCACTGTTACCCAGTGCAAAACAACCACCACAACAAGCAGTCGTACCATCGAATTTTTCACACTCTGCAACAAGCGCTCGTGTTGTTCTGCTATGGCCAAAGCAGCTGAGTGAACCTTCTGATAGATTGCTTCCCCATCTCTGGTCTGAAAGATGAATAGTCCTTCTCCTGTGTCACACATCCTGCCACAGCAAGAACAGACAGGTTGCAAGTGTGAGATTGAAGTTTATAGATCATCATGAGCAAGCAAATCTTGACCAGGCTGCTCTAGAAGGGCTGGGGCACAGGGAGGGAGAAAACAAAGGCTGCTGAAATATGGAACAAAGTGATATAAAAGGCATTACGGATGGGTACTACCTGCTCTGGTCCAATCCTACTGTTTTAGCTCATATTTGTATCACTTTCACCAAACAGGGACTCAGCTAAGTTCCACTGATCTATTATAAGTGCTTAAGCCCTTGAGAGCTCATGCTCAAGACCTACATTTTTAATATTTAGACCCTATCTAGAATCTGTGCCAGGTAGGATTAATTTTTCTTCCCCTTTCAAACTTTTAATGCTACTTGAAATTAGTTGTGCAGAGTTTTGCCTTCCACTTAAAATAATATAGACCCTCAGCATCCCAACTGCATTGTCCTATCATGTCTAATGCATGATAAGCTAAGTAAAAATGTATCCTTTCTTTCCCACAGAAGGACTGAATTCTGCAGTATTAAGGAGGCTGAACATTTAAATTCCCCTTCCCATTCCAGATAAGTTAATTCTATGATGTTTCTCTTTTACTATTATAATTCTTTTATGTGCTTATCTCAAATAATGCATCCACCTCCCTTAGAAAGAATTTAATAGTTTACTTCAATAAACAAATGCTTTAACTTCAGCCAGACAAAGACTTCAGCTCACTGAGACTGACCTACCAGAAACAATACAGAACAACAATTCTAAACAAGGATTTACATCCAAATTTCTTATAAATACATTTGTCAAATAGATGAAAAACAGGAATATAATAAATGGAAAACAGGAGTCCCTTCTCCATTACTTTAGTGTTTGCTTTTGGGAAACACCTGGCACTTGCTGCTCTCAACTTTGAACTCCACTTCTCCTAGTACAGGACCTGTAACTCTGTGCCCAAATGCCCACATTGTACAAATTCTGGATTTACATTCACCTCTCCTTCCCAGATCTGTCCATCCAGTTCTCTGACTCATATAATGCTTTATTTCAGAACAACCCTATATAGTAATATATAATGTTGCCAGCCTCCCGTCCCCTGGGATGCCACAGCTCTCCCTCCTCCCTCCTCAGGCACTTTTATTTGGCAACAGCCTCCACTCCAGAGACTACAGCCTAATCTCTGAAGAAAAGCTCTCCTGTCCTTCAACAACCTTCAGAAGTGATCCCAGAGCACCAGGGAGGAAAGCAACACAAGAGAGTGAACACACACCTACCTCCCTGCTTCAAAGGTGAACCAAGAGGGGTCCCGCCCATAGCGTCGGAGGGCACTTAATGGCCAAGAGATGAGTTTTACTCTGGGATTCTGGATGTCCCAAAGACAGATATTCTCAAAAGTTATCTGCAAGGTACATTCCCCATGCACATCTAAATTAGGGGATGGCATCAAATACACATTGAATCTCTCTGGGAGAAAAACAAAAGGTTAGTCTAAAATCCCTGCCCATTAAATGCGAAAGTCATTCAAGGAATTTCCTATTTTCCATCTCTAACACAAGATCTTATTTTCACTTAGAACAATTTATTCAAACAGAAAGACTCATTTCCTTCCAGTAACCCAATAAAGTCCATGTTTGGGGCAGCCAGAATGCTGCACTCTAACATTTGTGTGTGCATTCAGACACTGATGAGAACTACACCATCATAATCCTGGCGTTTGCAAACAATTAATAAAATTGTGTGCATGAATAAATACATTGCAATTGCATTTGTGCATGTAATTAGTTAATTTGCATAGGAAAGCAAAATAGCCATGGGCTCTGGTTTTGCATGCAATTACTATTATTTATTAGCTGCTTTACAATACTGCCAAAGAGCCCCAATCACAGACTGAAGCTGTTATACAGACATCATACAAGGAAACACATAAGAGAGAGTTCCCATCTCCAAGTGCAACTAACTTGTCTGAGAAGGAAAAATGCTATTCCAAAACAATTCTAGTTACCTTACTTATTACCTCCATTAGCAATTTAAAAAACCTAAAACCCAAGGAAACCCCAAACAAACAAAAACACCCCCCACAAAACAGGAAGAAAGGCTTGGAAAAATAACTGTGTTCCGATTTACTTCTGATATTCATATGCACATTCTAAAAGACTTTAAAATAATGCAATTCAAGATTTGAAAGGTCAACATTTATGTACCTACCACTTTGCTCCCTCTCTACTCCAGATGCTAACAAGTCAGGCTCTCCAAGGCTAATGTCATTAATTCGCGTTCCAAGACACTCCATCTGCAGCACCTTGCACCACTCATCTGCCTCAAGTTCTGTATAAATGCCCAGAAAATCTGTGTGTAGGTATAATACATTTATAATTTCACAATTAATGCTCTTATGTTTTCTCATGAGCATTGCCATTTTACTCACCTGACTCACAAGCAAAGGTTTTTGATGTGTCATCATTAAAATAAATCCCAACAGCATGTTTCTTGGTGCTTTTTGGAGTCCGTAATACATTCTTCACATTATTGAGCTCTGTCACCTGAAAAAGCACAATTTGGAGTTTTAATTAGGAGCTTGAAAAGATATATATCCATTATTGACTGGAGAAGAGAGAAAATAATTATGTCATGTTGCAAAGGCCAGAGTAAAGGAGGGAGAACATGAACATGCCTATGATTGCTCTTAAAGAAATGCAGCCTTGATGTGAATCACCTTAGACAATCGAACTGAAGACCTTGGACAATGAAGCAGACACATTCTCCATTCCTTCTTGCCTGCATGTGAGCTTCAGTGCTACACTATCTGAACAGGATTTTAACTAAGAGGCAGGTAGAATCAAAGTTCACTCCAGCTTGAGAAATATTTACATGAAGGACATGAAAAAGACCAACCTGATGTAGCAGAAGCAAAGAGAGGTGATGATAAAAATCTAAAGAATTCACCCAGTTGGAGGAGCAAGTCCAGTTCCAGTACAGCTTTCATCATGGAGGACAAAACTGTAAAAATGGTGAAAAGTTGCTCTCTAAACTAGTCTTTGATGGAAAGTTGAAGATTTGTTAGAATGGTCCACTTAAAAATAAATAAATAAATAACATGGGTTTATTATTAGAAACTTTTTTAGCTTCAAAGATCCACAGATTTGTTGCTTGGTCACCAAAAACTGATTGGAAAAATAGCTTCCACACCAAAAAATAAACATGTATCTTTTACCTTGCATACAGCTTCAGTAAACATGTACTGCACTTGTTTCATATTTCTAACATCCACTTTTCACCCTCACAAACATAAGTAACACTCCTGCATTTGACTGAGGAGAAATTCTTCATTATTTAAATTCCTTTTAATATAAAGGCTTAACACTCAGCCAGAGACTCAGGAAATTATATTTAAATATTCATTATCAGGAAACATTTCACGGATTCTTTTATGTGGTGGAGGTTGAAGACAGAGAGGGAATTCAACAGAAATGTTCCCAAAGCTGTATAACCTAACAGCTTCTCTACATTGGTCTCATTAGTTCTGTGGAACAGTCTCATATCAATTGTGTCAACTCTAAAGAAAGAAATGCAGCACTTGTCCTCTAGATAAGGCTCAGGAAGTGTAAAGAGTCATCAGGGCTACAGGGCCCAGCGACAAAAACCGTTTCTCTAAAGCATCCTGGGTTCCCCAGCACAGCCACTGCTTCTCTCTGGCCCTTCATCCTAAGCTGCTTTCTTCTTGGAGTCTATTTATTGCCTGTTCCCTTCCACTGGGGAAAACCAGACAGACAAAAACCCATTTTCAAGCAAGATCCCTGAAAAAGTAATTGTGCTGTGAATGGGAGGAACAACGAGCAGTTGGTGAGCAACGATCCCGCAAAATAAAAATAAATAATGGATCCAATGCCTGGAAACTCATTCTGTGGGTGGTAACAGAAGGAAATAATGGAAGGAACACCCCACAGGGAACACAGCAAACCTTCTGCATAGCTGTCAAATTTAGAACTCAGGTTTTTATAGCCTCCAGGTTCAAAATTTTGAGAAGTGTCAAAACTGAGACTTCCTAATTGTGCTTAATTTTGCATGATTTTTTTTCACTCTTCCAGGAAATCCTGTGATGGAAGCACATCTCCAGTGCTAACAAGACACCAACAAACTCATTGTTAAATATGACAAATCTGTCACAGCCTATTCCCATTGTGCTCAGCACATGACAGGTCAAGCACAAACTGCCAGCTGCCAAGCTCAACTTGTATGGTTTTCTCATATGCCAAGAAAGGATTCAAATGCAAGAGGAAAAAAAAGCCAGACTTTTTAATTCAGGACAGCAACTACCTTGACATTTATACTGACCACATCTACGTTTCTGCAAGTGAAGGTGCTAATGAAGTTTTGTACCTCTGCATAAAACATTGGCAGCAGCAGAACAGCCATACATCCTGGTAACAATCATTTAGTGATCTAGGATCTGTCCTAATGGAAAGCTTATTTCTTACAATCAGATATGTCACACTCCTGCTGCTGGATATCCCAGTAATTGTCTCTAGGCTGACAAATCCTGAGGATGCTGTGACAGGGCTCAGTGAGATGGTGAAAGGTTTATACTAGTTGGGGAATAGCAAACTGCCTCTCCATCCTGGCTCAGGAGCCATAGGCACTCACAGCAGGCAGAAGCTCAGAAGCACCAACTGGTACACGTCCCCCAGCAGCCCCCCATGATGGGCAGCATGTGCTGCCTCCACTCCAGGCAGAGACACTCCCTCCATCCCAGCCAGGGAGGCAATGGGCCCCAACCAGGAGGGAGGCTGCTACTGCACAGGGGTGGGAAAGGAAAACCAACCACCCACCCCAAGCCCTACCACCACTAATGACCCTCAGACTGAGTCATTCCCCTCCAGGACAGCACCTGCTGCATTTCCCTTTAGAAACAACTAAAGAAAAAAGAAAAAAAGCATTAATTATAATAGCATCAGTGTTTTGGGGTGAAAACAGTGATATTTTTCTTATTATTGTCATAAATTCTTCTCAAAAGACAGTTAGTTACTGCAGTAAAGTACTTCTTTGTGATCTCCAATGCAGAGTAATATATTTCAATAGATTTTACAAGAATCAACTCATGCTTGAAATCCCAAAGTTCAACCTTCTGAAGAGAAAAAAATGTTCTCATTTGAATATGTCTTCTCCTCCATTTACTTTTTATTACTCTTCTCCTTCTAGGCATACTGCATTATGAAGAAGACAATGCAGATTATCTAAGACATTACTTATCTCCTATCTATTGCCTTTGCAGTATTCACAGTGGTCTGTTTTGCTTTGCTGGGTATCAACCAGCAGGTACTTCATCTCAGTAAGCAAAACTCTCCCTAAGTCAACACAAGAGCAGAAGATGAAGACAGAGAGCACATGAGTGTGCCACTGACCCAGGCCTAAGTGCAAGGGCAACTCAGGTCTGGGTCTTCAGGGTGGATGTACAGGGAAGACAGGAAGGCAAAAGGGGTACAGAGATGGGGTGAACACGAACAACTTGATTACATGAGAATTATTTTTTTTAATGTGTTTATAAAGCTCAGTCCTAAATCACTTTCTCATCACGTTGGCCCTACCTCAGAGTGCTGTGTACTGGAATAACAGAGGTGGGACAGGTCAGGGACCTGATGCAAGTCACACACTGCAGCAGTGAGTTCCCAGGGATCTCCTTATGCCCTGTGTGCATGCAGAATGCCTGCACTGCAAAGCACAGCAGCCAGGTACCAAAAACACACTCTGAGAGCCCTGGCTCACAGCCTGGTCACATGCAGTAGCAGGCAATGTCACCACTTGGGTGATGCTGGCTGCAACGGTTGGCAGCTCCTGGGTTATTTTGTGCTGCGTTGATTGACTGCTTGAGAGCTCTTGTATCATGGCACTTCACAGAGCACAGTCTGAAAGTCTTCACACACATCTGAAGATTTCCTGGTGGCATTTGATTCTGTTGAGATGCACAAGCTGACACCAAAGCATCTCTCTGTGAAGTGTGACAAGCAAGTAGCCCCAGTTCTGACCTCTGACCCAGGTCCAATGTCTACAGTAGCAGGCACACACCCTAGTTTCTTCCCAGCTGATTTCAGGCTAAGTTTTTCCTCAGCAACAGACTGAGCAGACACAGGGAGAACAACAGATGGACAAACTCAAGCACTCTGGGATGCTTTCTGAAATCAGTAGCACAAGTGATAGCATAAGGAAGAGACATTTGAATTCATTCCTTCAGCTCATCCACGCCTTCTGTCCTGGAGACAACCTTGTGGCACCTGATTTTTATATCTGGAGAAAAGATACTCTTCCATTTAGGGCTTGAGCTGCTGAAGTTGCCTTCACCTTTCAGAGGTCCAGGGGTTCTACAGTATTGCAATAGCCCCTTCTGGCAAGATCTGGCTTTAGCCAAGAAGCTATT